AATATTCAATTTCACAATTTGTTTTCTTCTCTCTCTCAATCGTGAATCGTGAATATTAATCGTGAATTAATATTCAATTTGTGAAGGTTGTTAAAGCCAATTTTCACATCTCTGCTGGGGTTATGTTTCTCTTAATATTTGAAGTTATTGATCCTTATGATAAGCTGATAAAACTCTTCCAAGCAAGGGTACGCCATGTTCAAAATAACTTCACTGAGTACGTCTTTTGCAGGCCGAAACCCGATCAAAAAGGTATATATAATCTCCTAGAAGTAGTTGTTTTTAATGAATTCACTGTTATATATCTTTTTCTGTTTCTTGAGATTTATAGGTATTTTGGATTGTTTTGATAGTGGAATGCCTTGGGACTGTCGAGGAATGTGTCGAAAAAGATGTCAAGAAGCAAAGGTAACGGAGTATCTTATCTACTAGGGTCTTTTACTTTGATGTTAGATTTCTTGTATGGTTGATATTCCATTGATTTTGTTCTCTTTACATATTGGAGTGAGAACCAAGAGACGTTTACGGGAGTTCTTGTGTTGTTTAGGCCTTAGGGAACTAACTTAGAAATGTGAAAGTACGAATTTAGAAATATAGACTCAACTTCTTTACAAAAGTCAGTGTTAACTAACCAAATAAGAAGTGTTTTAAAACATGGACTGAGCCACCCGACATGCGATCCAAAACATTAATTCGGTCCGATTAACTTGCTTATTGAAAAGATGGCCATTTACTCGGATCTTTGATGACTTCTCTATGTTCATAGAAACCCAGAGGACACTCCAAAGTTCTGCTTCAAGGAAAGAGAGAGGGCTTATAAGAGCATTTCTCCCATATACTTGTCATACATTTTATTTATGAGTTGATGAGAAAAACTTCTTGTACACGCTACGTACACTCTGTCTTGATTAATTTATCCCCATATATCAACATAATGAATTAAATTTTGATAAAATAAGGGTTCTAGCCAATTTAAAACCGTGGATACAACTGAAAACAATCAGTACATTCTTGCAAGGCACTATTATCGTTTTGTTGTTTCGATGGGCCAAAAGGCGAAGGTCAAGAATTTTAAAGGGACTTGAGTGAAATAATTTGGAAATAGTCTGAATGCAATAATAAAAAAAAAAGAGTTAGGGTTTCTTAATCTGTAGATAAACGAAAGGCGACAATTTGATCCGTGACGAGCGATGCGTGAATTTGAAGGTACGATTCGAACTTACGATTCGAACTCTCTTGCTCTAAAAGTTAGGGTTTTATGTACAAATAATCGATTCTGACTACATGTCTCTCAGGCTGGACTTCGTGGCTCGAACCAGCGTGTTTGCTGTGGCAACCTGGTGGTCGTGGCTACGTGAGACCTCCATACATGACTCGGACCGATGATGATAAACCTCAGTACACACCAGATCAAGAACTTGCCATAATGGCCGAACAAGTCAATAGCAGCGATGTATATATATCC